GGCAGAAAATATTTCTAAGATATATTTTATGAAGAGCTGTTACTTGGGGCCAGCACTGCTACTTGATGCCTCTGCCTGTGACACCAGCATCCTTATGGGCAATGGTTTGTGTCCTGGTTGCTCCTCTTCCAACGCAGTTCTCTGCTATGGCCTGGGAAATCAGAGGAAGATGACCCAAGTGTGCAGTCCCCTGCAACCATGTTGGGGACCTGGAAGAAGCCCCAGGCTCCTGGCGTGAATCAGCCCAGCTCCGGCCATTGCAGCCATTTGGGGAGTGAACCAGTGGATGGAAGACCTTTCACTCTGTCTCTCCCTCTCTGTGTCTGTAACTCTATCTCTCAAATAAATAAATAAATCTTTTTTTTTTAAAAAAAGAGCTGTTACTCAAAATAGAGAAAGAAATCTTAAAGCTCAACAATATGAAAAAATCCATTCAGAAAGCAGCCAAAGTCTAACAGACAATTGCAGGAGATACACAGATGTCAGTCATATGAAAAGATGCTTTAGGCCAGTGCCGTGGCTCACTTGGCTAATCCTCTGCCTGCGGTGCCAGCACCCCAGGTTCTGGACCCAGTTGGGGCGCCGGTTCTGTCCCAGTTGCTCCTCTTCCGGTCCAGCTCTCTGCTGTGGCCCAGGAGGGCAGTGGAGGATGGCCCGGGTGCTTGGTCCCCTGCACCCATGTGGGAAGCCGGAAGGGATCACTTGGCTCCTGGCTTCGGATCGGCGCAGCACGCCGGCCATGGCAGCCGTTGAGGGAGTGAACCAATGGAGAGAAGACCTTTCTCTCTGTCTCTCTCTCTCACTGTCTAACTCTGCCTGGCCAAAAAAAAAAAATGCTTTAGGGGAAGGTTTTTAGCCTAGAAGTTTTGATGCCTACGACCCATATCAGAGTACCTGAGTTTGATACCAGACTCTGGTTATGGCTCCTGACGTTAGTGTCCTGCTAATGTAGATCCTGATATGCAGTGGATGGCTACAGTAATTGAGTTTCTGCTACCTTAGTGGAGTCCTAGATTGAATTAATGTCTCCCATCCCAGACCACTTAAGGCATATGAGGAGTATCAGTCGATGTGAGCTCTGTTTGTCAGTTTGTCTCTAACTTTCTTTGTCTCTCAAATATAATACATTATCTCTATAAATAGAAGCTATACAAGTGCATGCACACAGAGAAAGGGTGTGTGCTAACTGCACTAAGAGAATACATTGCTTTGACTGGGCTTCTCCTTGATTCCTCACAACTCACTGAATAACCCTCACTTTACAACCGAGAATATAGAGGTTAAACATTTTCCAAGTTCAGATTGCAGGTCAGTGGGGGTGCCTATATTTAAGCCCAGGAAGTCTGACTCCTGAGAACCATGATCTTTCTTCTTTTTCTTTTTTTAAGATTTATTTATTGGGGCCGGCAGTGTGGCTTAGTGTGCTAAGCTGACACTTGCAACACCAGCATCCCATATGGGCACAAGTTCAAGTCCTGGCTGCTATACAACTGCTAGGGTTGGGCTGATCTAAAGCCAGGTGCCTGGAGTTTCATCTGCGTTTCCCATGTAGGTACAGGAGCCCAAGCACTTGGGTCATTCTCCACTGCTTTCCCAGGCCACAAGCAGAGAACTGGATCAGAAGAAGAACAGCCAGGACATGAACCAGTGCCCATATGGGATGCCAGCACCACAGCAGAGGCTCAGCCTACTCTACCACAGAGCTGGGCCTGGGACTCTTTCTTAGATACCAGTTGTAAATGGCATCATTCTCCTTTTACAATTGTTTATCAGTCATGTACACAAATAAGAAAATGGACAGAGACTCAGACAGAAATTGCTGCGCTCCAAATTCCCAAATCATGTAGTTATAACCACTGCATTGCAAAAATAAAAATAAAAAAAAATAAAAAATAAAAAAACCACAAAACTTAGTGTTTGCTTATTTACTTGCTCAACCATGAGGACTAAGACTTTACCTTTTCATGTCTCCAAAAGGCCTGCATTTCTTCCAATGTGTTTCATCTAATTTGAGTTAATGAAGGAACCACTGAAGGCTGACTTGCTCTGCCTCTCTAATTCGAGATTTCATTATTTGCCAACTCCCCCACCCTAGTGTGGCAACCCTTTTGGTTTGACAATCAGCTTAAAATCTGCTGAGGCCTGAAGAAATCTTATAATTCCTCTTTGGTGACAACAGTCATTTCATATAATGAATTTAAACTGAAATGTGACACTGTGACCATGATCATCATGTCTTGTACATTTCTCTGATTGGTAGCTAAAATGGATGGTATTAGTAATGACCCTGCAGCTTCCCTTAAGGCAATCCTATGGGAAGGAGGATAATTTAGACTCGTTCCCAACCAATCTTCTCACAAAACCAAAGGGAGAAAATTGTGTAGACATATGGAATCACACAAAATACTTAACAGCAACTCAAAAATTATATATTTGGAAATGCCTTACCAGCTCATTAAAAGTACATACTTCAGATATTTCCTCATTTCTAATAAGGACACATCGCATTAAACATCTGCAAAGTCATTGTGCTTATAGATTTCAGAGATGTTAAGATAGCTTCACTTAACAATAAAGTAGCATTTGAGATTTACTGAGGAGTCATAACTAGAAAAATAATTTTTCATGAATTAATAACCTATTCTACAATAATTAAGCTTCCAAGATGATTACATTTAAATCCATCCTCACAAATTTCTCCTTTTAGAATTTTTTTGTTTATTCCAGGAGTGAAGATTAGTTTAATAATGAAAAAAAATAATTCATCACATTATCAGACTAAGAAAAAAACATATTTATCATCCGAATTGATGTACAAACATCATCTAGTAAAATTAAAAATTAACAACTATTCTTAATTTTTAAAAAGCACAAGAACAGAAATAAACTTTCTCTGATAAACAGCATCTACAAAAACTACACAACTAGGGGCCAGAGCTGTGGCATGGCAGGTAAAGCCACCACCTGCAGTGCTGGCATCCCATACGGGCACTGGTTCGAGTCCCAGTTACTCCACTTCTGATTCAGCTCTCTGCTATAGCCCAGCAAAGCAGCAGATGATGGCCGAAGTCCATGGGAAACCCAGAAGAAGCTCCTGGCTTCAGATCAGCACAGCTCCAGCCATTAGGGCCATCAGATGGAACCAGAAGATGAAACCCCCCATCCCACCCCCACCTCTGTAACTCTACCTTTCAAATAAATAAATATAAAATAAATTAAAATAAAAACTCTACAATTAGTATCATAATAAATGATCAAAGACTGAAAGCTTCCCCCTAGGATTAGAAAGAAGTCAAGGGGGCCAGCGCCGTGGCTCACTAGGCTAATCCTCCGCCGCCTTGCGGCGCCGGCACACCGGGTTCTAGTCCCAGTTGGGGCACCGGATTCTGTCCCGGTTGCCCCTCTTCCAGGCCAGCTCTCTGCTGTGGCCAGGGAGTGCAGTGGACGATGGCCCAAGTGCTTGGGCCCTGCACCCCATGGGAGACCAGGATAAGTACCTGGCTCCTGCCATCGGATCAGGGCGGTGCACCAGCTGCAGCGCACCGGCCGCGGCGGCCATTGGAGGGTGAACCAACAGCAAAAGGAAGACCTTTTTCTCTGACTCTCTCTCTCTCACTGTCCACTCTGCCTGTCAAAAAAAGAAGAAGAAGAAAGAAGTCAAGGGTACGCACTTTCACCACTGCTATTCGACGATGTTCTAGAGAGTTTCATATGGCAAGAGTAACAACTTAAAGCTGTCCAGTTCAGAAATGAAGAAATAAAGCTGCTATAGATATAAGTCCATACTCTGAAAAGCCTATGAAATCTACAAAAACTATTGGAAGGAACAAGCTCTGCAAGAACAAAGAATACATTAATCAAACAATCAACTATATTTAATTTTTAAAAAAGATTTATTTATTTTGAAAGACAGAGTTAGAGAGAGAGCGACACAGGGAGAAAACTTCTATCCACTGGTTTACTCATCAGATGGCCACAATGGCTAGGGTTGGCCAAAGCCAGAAGCCAGGAATTACATTCCAGTTGCCCACGTGGGTGGCAGGGACCCAGATACTTGGGCCATTCTCTGGTGCTTTCCCCAGGCCATTGTCAGGGAGCTGGATCAGAAGTGAAGCAGCAGGGACATGAACCAGCACCCAAATGGGATGTCAACATTGCAGGCAGCAGCTTTACCCACTATGCCACAATGCTGGACTCTCAATTATATATCTCAGTATGCTAGCAACTTCTGGAAACAAAATTTTTTCCATGTCATTTATGACAGTATTAAACATATGAAACAAGGATAAACCTAACAAAAATATGTAACACCTGTATACTGCAAACTATAAATAATGCTGAGAGAAATTAAAGATCAAAAATTGGCAGGATATGGAGAAACAGATTGCCTCATACATGGTTGGAGGGAATACAAATTGGTACAACCATTATAGAAAACAATATGGAGACTCCTAGGAAAACTAAAGCTAGGATCTACCACAGGACCCTGTTATCCCACTCCTGGAATTACAACCAAAGAAAAGAAAATCAGCATATTAAAGAGATATTACACTTCCACTTTAAAACAGCTCAATTCTCCACAGCAATCCATCAACTGTCAACTGCACGAAGAAAATGTAGTTTATATACACAAAGTAGTATGAGTCAGCCATAAAAAAGAATAAAATACATTCGCAACCAAATAGATGCAACTAAAAATCATGCTAAGTGAAGTAAGCCAAACCCAAAAAGACAAATCCATGTTTTCTATCACTGTGATAATTAAGTATAAAACCCGTGTCGATATCGTATCATTTGGAATACAGTTAAAATATTGTTTCACTGAACCAACAAAAATAAACAAAAAATCGAGGGAGGGGCCCCACCCCGCAGCTGCGGCTTCCATTCCCTTCCTCCCATGGTCTCCTCTGGTTCTCCATACTTCTTTAAGTGTTTCCACCACTCCTCCATCTCTCCCCTGAGCCTGCGACCCGCATCTGCCTTCGTCCTTCCCGTCCTACCTCAGAACTCTTGTTAAGAAGGTGATGCTTCAAAATGGACAAGGAAAAGTGGATGCCCAGATTCGCTCGGCCCATAAACCCCTCCGCCGCCCCCTCAGGTTCTTCCGGAGCTCGCGACAGCGACGTTGGCGCACGGATACTGCCCTGGGCGCACTGATACTCGGCGGTGAAGAGACGCAGGCCCACGACCAGTAGACAATCCTTTCCTGCAGCGTTGATCAACAAGTTGTGCATATACTTCCGAGCACACGGCGAGGTAGAGAGGAGCCGGATGGGAAGGACAGGCTCTGAGAAGGTTGAATAAGGTGATAATAAGGCTCTGAAATGGTTGAATAAGGACTAATTACTTAGCCCGTGAACCCCTCCCCACCCCCAGCACAATGAACTGCAGGTGCAGTTGAGGTGGTCGCTTCCACTAGCGCACCACGATCAGGGGACTTAATAACAGCCAGTAAAAAGGCCGTGTATCTTTTTAACAATTCACTTTGTACATGCTACCCCTTCAAACACCTAAAGTTTCGCTTACAAAAATTTATCACCCCAATATTAACAGTATGGCAACATTTCTCTCCCTATTCTAAGAGCACAGAGGCTTTAGATACTTCTAAAGGTCTTTTATTCGTTTGTTCACTGCTGTGTGATCCAAACCCAGATGAACCCCTAGTGCCAGAGATTACACGGATCTATAAAACAGACACAAGTACTACAGAGTAGCTGGGGAATGAATTCACAAGTATGTCATGTAATGCTACCTTAAAGTTAGGATAACCTGCGTTGTAGCAAGAAAGATCGTTACATTACTACTCCTTTTTTGATTTCCTTATTGGGCAGCTCCCTATCAGACCTAATCTTTCCTAATTCTAGTTTTTGTTTAGCTCAATCCATGCATTCAGATGCTCCTCTGAGAAAACTCAAGTTCTCCAGCTTTAGACACTCTAAAGTTGTTACAACAGAATAGCTACCCAAGGTACAGATATTTTTAAGGAAGCAAGTGTCTTGCATGGCCATTGTCTTCACTGTAACTTGCTGGTGAGACTAAAACCATTCCTCACTGCTCTAATATGCTGAAAAAGTCATCCGAAAGGGACTGTTATGGATGCCCAGTTGTCAATCAAAGGAAGCAGCATTATTCAAGCAACATCCATGCTTGTGTAAGACTTTATACTTATAAACCCTATAAATATTTCAATAACTTTTCCTTCTTGTATCTTCCCCTCCTCCTTTGTCAAGCAAAAAAAAATCAAATTATTAATTTTGAGAAACAACTCATCTATAGTCTGAATATTCAGAATTTAGGTTATTTTGAGTTTTCTGGTAATCTCTGACAAATCTGGAAAAAGATGACAGTGTCTAGGTTAGTTCACGTCACATGGGAACTGACTAGTAAATGTTCACTAAATTAACCAATCATTCAAATCAACAAACATTTACTGAACTAAACTCTGAGGAAAAGCCAAGACGAAAAGGTCTGCATCCTTAACTGCAGTTGACCTTGTGGAGCTGACTGGGCATACTTAAGAGTCAACGGCATAAGAGTGCAGCACGAAACTCGTAATGGAATAGCTAACCAGTTATGTGGTGGGTAACACGTAGTGAAGAGTTTCTGAGCAAAAAGTAGATATTTTAGCAGAGATAAGCAAGTTGGCATTTTATAGCAGTGATGATTTGAATCTGATGAAAGTGCGCTAAGCTTTGGTAGAGAATCCATGGGAAGGGCTGCATGGAAGGAATACAAATAGGGAAAAGAATCCTTTTCCTGGGAGAGAATGTTTTCCTATGAAGACAGTGGGGTTGCTTTTGTCATACTAATCAGTGGTCTTTTGTTATATCATAGAAGCAAAATGCCTCGAGTATTCCCTAGGACTCTGAAGACTACAATAAAATAGATTAGCTAATTCAAGCTTTGAAACATTAGATAATAGGGACTATTGTCGTGTCATGACCAGATAAACTGCCTCCCTTTATGCCAGCATCCATATAGGCTTTGTTCCATTCTTATATGTAGTTGGACTATAAAAAGTATTCTTGATCTTAGGAAAAAAATTTGTTTCGTTTTTTTTTTTTTTTTTTTTTTGACCGGCAGAGTAGACAGTGAGAGAGAGACAGAAAGGTCTTCCTTTTTCCGTTGGTTCACCCCCAAAGTGGCCACGACGGCCGGCGTGTTGCAAAGCCAGGAGCCAGGTGCTTCCTCCTGGTCTCCCATATGGGTGCAGGGCCCAAGCACCTGGGCCATCCTCCACTGGACTCCTGGGCCTCAGCAGAGAGCTGGACTGAAAGAGGAGCAACCGGGATGGAATCCAGCACCCCAACTGGGATTAGCCCAGTGAGCCGCGGCGCCAGCTGAAGAATGGCTAGTTTTAAACACATACATTTTGGTGACTAAGAACAAGAGCAGTACAACCAATCTCCATTTGCCATGGAGTCTAAAGTAAAAAAATGAACAGAAACATATCTACTATTGGAGGAAAAATTGTCATTATCCTTCCAAATAGTACTAGACACACTCAAGGAGGTGTGCTGAACATAGAAGAGAAAGTCCTTTTTTTAATGTTTAAGGAACTGTGTAAGGCTGCTGCATGTCTTCATTTTCCTTTCTTTCATTTAAGTTTTTTTTTTTTTTTTTTTTTTGGACAGGCAGAGTGGACAGTGAGAGAGAGAGACAGAGAGAAAGGTCTTCCTTTGCCGTTGGTTCACCCTCCAATGGCCCCTGCGGCCGGCGTGCTGCGGCCGGCGCACTGTGCTGATCCGAAGGCAGGAGCCAGGTGCTTCTCTTGGTTTCCCATGGGGTGCAGGACCCAAGCACTTGGGCCATCGTCCACTGCACTCCTGGACCACAGCAGAGAGTTGACCTGGAAGAGGGGCAACCAGGATAGAATCTGGGACCCCGACCAGGACTAGAACCCGGTGTGCCAGTGCTGCAGGCGGAGGATTAGCCTATTAAGCTGCGGAGCCCGCCTCTTTCATTTAAGTTTTAAGAAATATTTATTCTAGTGGCTGGCACCATGGCGCAGTAGGTTAATCCTTGCCTGTAGCACCAGCATCCCATATGGGTGCTGGTTCTAGTTCTGGCTGCTCCTCTTCCAATCCAGCTCTCTGCTGTGGCCTGGGAAAGCAGTGGAGGATGGCCCAAGTGCTTGGGCCCCTGCACTTGCATGGGAGACTTGGGGCAGGGAGGAAGCTCCTGGCTTCAGATCAGATCAGCTCCGGCTGTTGCAGCCTTTTGGTTTTGGGGAGGCAAATAGTGGATGGTAGAACTTTTCCTCTTTCTCTCCTTCACTCTGTCTATAACTCTACCTCTCAAGTAAATAAATAAAATTTTAAAAAATGGTGGGGCTAGGGAGAAAAGTCAGAAGAGAGACTAGTTATGAGCTTATTGCAAATGTTTGATGCTAAATGTTTTAGTTTAAACTTTGACAGTGCACAAAAAACTGTGGACACATCAGAAGCCGAGACTGCATAAAAGGGAGTTTTAAGAAAGAGGCATCATAAAATGAAGTACAAAGAGGAAGCGGTTATAGGAAAATTGAATAAACTTCATTATGAAATTAAATATATGATTCAGTTTATATAGAATCCGTATACACATGTCAACATGCCACACACACACATACACACCCCTAAATTCCTGGGGTTCAAACAATATTTGGGGAAGAAGTAGAAAAACAGAATGAGCCAATCTTGTGCTACCACTTACTAGGTATTTGAGCTTGGGAAAGTTCTTGACCCCCTCTCTGCCTCTGTATCCTTATCTCTGATGTAGAAGCAATCACAGTATCTCCCTTGTACAGTTATTAAGAGAATTAAATTAGTTAATTTATGTGAAGCACATAGAACAGTGCCTCACATGTGAAGAAAATAGAATTGTTTGTTATTAGCAGCTTGTAAACTCTGGCTGCCTTTCTTCTGTGTTGTTCAGGTAATTCATGTACACATTTAATTTTTATCACAGTGCTTGAATACAGGCATATAGACCTTTACAATTTCTCTAAATCTTTTTAAAATTATTAATATAAGAGAATAGATTTCATGTATTTCATAGGTACAATTCTAAGAATGTAACCATAATTCCTTCCTTCCCCCTCCCCTTTCTTAGTCCTCCTCCTCACACTTAGTATAATTTTATCAACTAAATGAGAAGACAAGGATAATGCAGGAAAACAGTGGGGAAATCTACCCACTCCCACCCCAGACTCACCCACAGGCAAACCACGCTCTAGCATCATTCAGCTTTTCTAAACCATCTGGTGAATTCAGGACTCCCTATGTTGGCAGAAGCAGTCCTCCTTCCTGAAGGGGCTGTTCCTCCTTTATCAGGAACATACCTGCTCATGCTTCAAGACCCAATCTGTGGTCAGTTACTCTAGGGAGCTGAGGCATGCTCCATCTTCTGACCCATGTTTCACTGGAGGACTCAGTGAATTCTTCTACCATGGCAATTGCCGTGGTGTATTACAACTGTCTACTACTTGTCCATGAACTGGACCATGAAAGTCTCAGTTTTGGGGCTGGCACTGTGGCATACCAGGTAAAGCTCCCACCTGCAGTGCTGGCATCCCATATAGGCGCCAGTTTGAGACCTGCTGTTCCTCTTCCAATCCAGCTCTCTGCTATGGCCTGGGAAAGCAGTGGAAGATGGCCCAAGTCCTTGGGCTCCTGTACCACGTGCAAGACCTGGAAGAAGCTCCTGGCTCCTGACTTTGGTTTGGCGCAGCTCCAGCTGTTGAAACCATCTGGGGAGTGAACCAGCAGATGAAGACCTCTCTCTGCCTCTGCCTCTCTGTAACTCCCCCTTTCAAATAAATAAATAAATAAATAGTTTTTTAAAAATAAAGTATCAGTTTTTTATTCTTTCATATCCATTACACAGCACAGTACTTGCCACATGAAAAATGAATCAATAAGTGATGAATGATTGGCCTGGACCTGCCCTCTGCTCTTCTTGCCTTGTAAATTGGTCCCACATTCTTCAGGCTGTTTCTTATCTAAATTAAAATCATTATTTGAAAGCTAAATCTGAGCACCATCCTTTTTGAAATTAAATTAGCATCATTGCTAGTTTTCAAGCTTCTTCAATATGCTTATTGAATAAATTAATTACCACTATTCATTAAACTCAAAGCATATAGGGTCATTTAGGCTTCTTCTTCTAGGATTTTAAACTCTGTATTCAGAAGATATAAAATAAAATAGTTTGATGACTTTTACCTTTTTATAAATGTTTTTTCTTTGTCTTTTATTAACTAATTCTGATTAGGTTTCATATATGAGATTTTGCTTTTTGTGATTCTCTTCTCCTGATTGGTCC